CAGCTTCTTCTCTTTTTACGGAGAAGTAACCATCAATATTTCTTTCATCCCCTTCTACCGCCTGGTGGTAAGCGATATGCACCCATAGATCATTGGCATTCTCTACGTGGTGGGTCCCGGTGCGCCAGGGGCAGCACCCGATCAGGTTCTTCTCTATCACCGTGCCCTTAGATCCCATCCTCGTCGCCATGTCTCAGACGGCCAGAGCCGACTCGAGGTGATTTAGTAATTACTCGTTCGTTGGGCGGGCTGGTGAATAGAGAGGCGGACAAGGCTTAATTGGTTGCAAAACTTTACTTACGCCACTTGTAGCTGCAACGCTGATGGTCTGGTCGTCTGAACAACTATGTGAGTTGTTCCAGCTGGCAAGGCTCAGGCTAGCTCATCCGTCCACAAATCAAGCCGGCGGGGCAAGGGTACGTCAGGGATTGCGCTCGGCGACGGGGAGAAGAATCGATAGGTGATCAGTCTATCGATTAGCTCAGCTGCAAGTCAGATCTCTTTAGAGGCACTCTGCAGTGTGCTCAAAGTTCTCCGACTTGGGCGGAAGTCGCACGAAATTTTAAACGGCCAGCAAGCCAATTACCAGCCGCCACATAGGAATAATTTAGAACTAGCCAATAGCGGGACACAAATTTGCATTCGAATGGCGGGAACTCTCTTGCATCGGGGGTTTCTGCTGCAACAGAAAACCTTTTACTTTGCAAGAGGCTCTCATGTGGCGGGAAAATTCCATCGTGCCGAGGCACCAAAATCACTGGGTTGTGACACATGTATGTTAAAAAGTCTTTCCGCTATGGCCTATCTAACCCATCCAAGAATCTAGGAAAGCATCTTAGGATGATACATTTGTTATCACATGTAACTAATTACACCTGTAACTTTCTCATTTGTTTTCACTTTTAGCCTCTGGGACACAGCTACAATTCAATTTCTACCCAATCATCTGAGTACTCAACAGGTTGCAGGAGTGGGAGAAGGAAAAATGAATTCCACCCCCCCAAATTCATCCAGATCTGCTAAAAAATGTTAACAGGCACAATCTACCTGGGGCAGATCCATGATGAAGTTGTAGGCGTTGGCCTCCCTGGCTGCTTTGATGATGTCTTCCATAGTGGCTTCATCTCGCCCATAACGAATGTTCTCTGCAATCGTGGTAGCAAACAGGACTGGCTCTTGCTCAACAATACCAATCTGTGAGCGCAGCCACCTAATATTAAGGGAGCGAATGTCATGACCATCCAGAGTAACCTACAGAACCACATAAATTGAAATGGAAAACCAGTCAGTGCCATTCTTGTTTCCAATTCAGATTTCATACTACTCAAGTCTATGGTCTTAAATGAAGTTATTCCTACATCCCTGTGGGGTAAGAAAGAATGGAAAGAAAGGATAGAATCACTCTTGTTTACACTTTAGGCAATACAATGAAAGATAAAATTAGATAATAAAAGAACAGAATCACAGAGCCACACAACAAGGCCAGCATCCAGGCATCCCAACCTCCCTGCCTAGACCAGCACCACACTCACAGACATATCTATGCACACCAGCAGCTCACACTAAAAAAAATAAAAATAAAAAATAAAAATTCAAAGCTGAGATGGAGGGCCTTGTTCCCTGCAAGAACAGGCTGCAAGCAGCCACAAACATCCCCCTTTTCACTGCCACAATGATGCTCAGCCCCAGAGATGCAATATAAGCCTCTAGGGCTGCTGGCTTCTTCACTGCGTGGGCCTCAACCATCTCAGCTGCCCCAAAATTAAAATTTAAAAAATAAAGGACGTTTTGGCTGCACCAAATTCCCCTCTCTCAGAAACAACCCAAATGCTCAAATTGAGGGGTCTAAAAAACCTGGAACTCGGTGCGGCCACACCAAGTTCTGCAGCTTTAAGCCTCACAGTCCTGGCACTGGTCCGATGGGTTCTGGGGGCATATCTCAGCTTGACATAGGGGACGATTCAACCTAATAAGAAATTATGCTTTTCCTTATTAGGCCTCCAGAATCTTCATCAGAATTGATTTTCTAGATGGATTTACAAAACTTACATTTTCTATAGGAAACATTTCTTAGAAGATACCTATTTTCTTCTGGGAAGCTGAAGTAATGGTTTTTTGGCTGCATGCCTGGAAAACTGTTCTCATTTTCACAGTCTGTCTGCAAAAATATATCCAAAGTTGAATTTTTTCACAGTAGGGGTTCCTGCTTTCCAGCCAGCAAGTCTCATTAAGTTGGGTGCTTCCATGTGCCTGCATTTCTAACACCTACCTCTCCCAGTTAGGTTATAAGACTCAATTATCATTTTTAATAGAGCTGGTCAACATTTTTCATTTGTTTCCAGGGGATTCTCAGGGTCCAAAATCAACCTCTCTCTAAAAACAGAGATGTCATTTTTTGTCATTTTTGTTTCTTTCAGTATCTCCTTTTTCCTCTCCAATCCCTGTCCTTTTTCCAATTTCCCTCTTCTCCCCTTCCTTTTTTCAAAGACACAGTGAAAGAAAGAAGAGAGGAAAGGGGAGGAAAGAATAAAGAAAACCAAAAACTGCTGAAAATGAAACATTTCAAAACCAGGATCTTTATAAAGATATTCACAAAAAAATGAACAAACAAAAAATCATTCCCTTTCAAAAACTGGGTAATGAAAATTATTTTTCTGCATTTTTAATCTAAGTTATAAAACATTTCCAAGTTATAAAACACCATCAGATTCTCAGATGAACAGTGCTACATGAATATAGAACATTCTGACTATTATCATTACTACATAAATCATGGAAATACCAATGTAATGTGACTGATTTCTTACATGAATTAATTCAAATAGTGGCTTGTATATACTAAACTGAAGATTGGCCTTTTGTCATGAGATACAGCTCAACGTTTATGTGGTTTGCACTAAGAACATTTATAAATTGAGCCTTAAATGTTGTTGGTAATAACATGCAGCTAATCCATTCAGCACATATTGTAGCAATACAGGAAACCCTCGCTATTCATGGGCTTGGCATTTGCAGTTTCAAATATTCACGAATGTCAAACCCACTTCTTAAATACACTTACAGGAGCTCCTTGGGAGCCCCACGCTTGCCACCGCCATGCTCCTGCTGCCACCAGCGCAGCCATGCCTCCCCCCACTGGCCCCCGGGAGCACTGCGCTCATGAATGCAGTGCCTTATTCGCAGATTTCGCTGTTCATGGGGATCTCGAGAACATATCCCCCACAAATGACAAGGGTCTCCTTTATTATGAGATAATGGTTAAGTGCTTAGTGTTACATTTACCAAACTTGGTCAGTTCAGGATTCTCCAGCACTGTTCTAAAAGCATAAGTACAGTTCCTATGATATTGTTACTCTGGCCTGAAAATAGAACAAGACAAAACAAGACATTTTGCTTATCCCTTAGCCACTGATTTTAGTAATGACTATTTTAAAAACACCTTGATGAAAAATCTTCTCTTAGCTTTGAGTGAAAAATATGACACCCTTCAAGTGAAGGGCAAAGTGACAATCTCACCATGCCTTCACTAGGGTCATAGAATCGCTGGATAAGCTGCACTGCAGTGCTTTTCCCAGCTCCACTTGGTCCAACGAAAGCGGTTGTCTCCCCTGATTTAATAACCATGTTGAGGTTATCCAAAATCTGAAAACATAAGAGGAACCATGCATTTCTGGAGACAAACAAGTGCACTCCTTCACCCTTATTATGAAATGGACAGTAAGAAAAAAAAGTAACCAAAGTATTTTAAAATAATTTTAAGAGTTTGTAAGTATACATCATGAACAGGATTATTTCCCAGGAAGAAAATACAAACAATTCTGATCTTTGTTCATGCTTGATTGTCATTTAAGTCAACAGGAGCTGAACTTGTGCATACCAGAGGTTAATTTCACCTGAAATACCTTTTGCAGAACACAGCAAACCTATCATTACAAAAGGCATACCGCATAGCTAGGGTGAGTGCCTGAAAAGGACACTCACCCTAAACATTGTTTGCACCAAAAAGCTTGTATGAGAATCAAGTGTCATACTTAATAAGCTCCTGTTCCTAAAATAATTGCATGTGTTCTCTTGCTCGATAGTGTGCCTTCTAAGGAGAATGTGTTCATTTTAACACAGCAGCACTGAAGTAGATGTGCAGGTAATGTTCATGTACTGTAAGAACTAGGCACAGGTACAATACATTGGATATCTCTAAAGCAATTGAAGAGTTACATGATAAAATGAACTGAGCAAAAAGATTTTATTACCTTGTGCCTTTTTCTTGCACACATTGATAAAACAGTGTAATTGATTACAAAGGAACTAGCATTGCTCTAAGTTCATGTTCTTCCAAAAGGAATTTGCATAGCAATGGATGTGTCAGAAAGAGAAAGCAATGGGGTAAGCTGATTAAAAGCCATAGTAAGTTCTAATACTGTTGACACTAAAATGATTAATAGCCCACATTTAAACAAAGGGCTTGTGCTTTTGAAAAACACGCTCTAATGGACTTTAGAAATTACTCGCTAAAACAGCATATTGTAATTGCTTATGCTCAAATTATTCACAGGAGAAATGATGAATAATTACCTTTACTTCTGGCCTGGATGGGTAATAGAATGTTACATTATGGAACTCAATTTCACCTTTTACTTTATCCAGTTTGTAGCCATTCTCTGACATACTGTCAATGGTAGGTTTCTAGAACAGAATTTAGCATGTTATTTATTTGTTGTTAAATAACTGATCTTTTGCTGCATTTCATAAATTTCCCTACCATGTTACAAAACCATGAGCATTCAGCCTGAACTGCTCTGAGCTATACTCAAGCAATGGAAGCCTGCTACAAAGGATGGAGAAGAATAAAATTCTAGGCCAAAATAACAATGCATTTGTCATCGGTGAGGAACACTGGAAAGAAAAATGAATGTTGTATTCATTTTAGCCATGCAGCCAACTCTTTCATTGAATCACTTGACTTGGAAAAATCTATTAATAAGGCTGGTTAATTATCATGGCAAGACATGAGAAAAATCATAACTAAGGGCATGGACAAAAGAACCATTTATCATGGGTTAAGAGAGAGCAGGACTTTACAATGGTAGCTTAACCATCACTGAATGAGGGATAAATTATCATTTAGGATCCATTTATCATAGGTAAGAGCATGCATAACAGCAGTTATTGTTGAGCAGTTGCTACACAGGAAAGTCCTGCCTCCTTACTCCCTGCAGTAAATTGTCAGTCTATCCATTCAGGGAATAGGTACAGAACATTATGATTTAATTATTGATTAATTACTCTGGCACAAATCAGGAGTAACTTCAAGGAAACCAACAAAACCATATCAGTTAATGTAAAGGATTGGAGGCCCCAGGTCTTTATATATATGAAGTCATAGTTTGGAGCTGGAAATCATAGTGATCACAAACATACAGTTTTACACAGTAGCTGAATTTGTTCAGCTAGTATTGAGAAATACAATAAGAATAAGAGTAAAATTTTATCTATCAAATGGGCTATATGTTCTGTACCCAAGAAACAGATGCTTCGAGGTGGGTTAGATGGTCTGTTTTGGCTCTGAAAGTGTCAGGGAAGAACTTACTATTTTCCTGCAAAACGTTTTACTATTGGGAAACATAAAATTTGAAAGTGTAAACTGACATGGCTTTCTTTGAGATGGAGGTGCCGGAAGCCTAGATTCTCTAAAGTAGGGGTGTTAAGCATAAGGTTTACTGGACAGATTAAGTTTATGGGGCTCCTGCAGGAGCTGGAAAGTGAAAGGTGGGGTCCACCACTGAATTCCTGCATATGGGATGCAGTTGGGTGTTGGCTCTGGAGGGGCAAGCAATGGGTGTGTTAATCCCTGTGGCTCAGGAATCTGTGACAGCTAATGAAACTGCCACTCACCCTACCACTGGAGTTGGGTCTGGATCCAACCTGCATAGAGCCCTGCAGTCTAGAAGTTTA